CCGGCAACGTGCAGCAGTACCTGAAGAGTAGTCATCTTCGGGGTAGGGGAGAAGGTCTGTAAGAAGTCAACTCCCTATCGCTGACTGAAGCCTCGTGCCACGTAACGAGCCTTGAAGGCCGGCGGAGAACCCGGCGGCCGCTTCACCCTGAAAATCCACATGCCATCGACTATGTTCGCCCCAGGAGGGGGAACTGCGTCGACGTAAGTGCCTGTGGACTTCCAGGATGCCATCTCTGCGTCCATGGCTGTCTGCCACTGAGAGGAGTAGGGACCCGAAATTCAACAAGCTCAGCAACTAGGGCAGACGCAGCAGTGGACTCAAACGAAGGGTCAGTGACAACAGTGGCCAGAAGACTTGTGACAGTAGGACTAGCAGCACGAAGTAAGTCAGACTCAAGGTCCGGTCTGTCAGCAAGAGAGGACGCAAGAGGAGACGGCAGAGGGACACGTTGTGGAACAGAGAAAGGACGAAGTGCCATATGGTGCGTGCCGGGGACAGGAGGAGGACGCTGACGCGGAACACGACGACCAGTGCGAGCAGCGCGAATAGGCGAGGCAGGACGAGACGCAGGCTCACGACGCTCTGTAAGCCTCCTGTCTGCTTAGTGTAAGGGGAAGGAGCAGGCAGTGGGGAGGCTGGCTGTAACTGCGGCTGCGACTGGTCAGGCGGTGGACACAGTAAGGGAGGAGTAAGGCCAGTAGAAGACGGGAGACCAAGAACCTGCTGAAGCAGTGGAACGAAGTACGGTCGTGGCCGCACAGTGCCTCCTGAACCAGCACCAACAGCACCAGCATCCCCAGGGCCAGCGCCTCCAGCTCCGGGGTCTCTAGCTCCAGGGTCTCCAGCTCCAACGCCTGCAGCACCACCAGCTCCAGCAGCTCCAGTACCTCCAGTACGAGCACCTCCGGGACCAGCGGCTCCAGTACCTCCATTAGCTCCAGCTCCAGCGCCTCCAGCTCCAACTCCTGCAGCACCTCCAGCACCAGCAGCTCCAGTACCTCCAGTACGAGCACCTTCGGGACCAGCGGCTCCAGCAGCTCCAGCACCTCCAGCACCTCCAGGACCAGCAACTCCAGCACCTCCGACTCCAGGGCCTACAGCGGCAGGCCCCCCAGCTCCAGTAGCGCCACTCCGAAGGCTCCAGCACCGAGAAAACCACTCGCGCAGCTACGATGGAGAGAGAGGCTCCCGCCGTGACGAGGCACCCGTAGGACGACCAGCAGACAAAGTACCTACAGGCTCAGCACGCTCAGGCTCAGCACCCCCAGGCACAACACCCCCAGGCTCCGCACGCTCAGGCTCAGCACCTCCAGGCTCCGCACCCTCAGACTCAGCAACCCCAGACTCAGCACCCCCAGGCTCCGCACGCTCAGACTCAGCACCCCCAGACGCAGCACCCCTATCAGCACCAACTCCAGCATCACCAGAGTCGACAGCTACCTCGACAGGCTCGACAGGGTCTACCTGGGACACACCTGAGTGAGCAGGACCCTGAGGGGGGAGGGGGTCTACCGGAGGAGGACCTAGTGCGAGGAAGAGCGGCGGGAGGGGGAGAGGGGCAGTGCGGTAGGGGAAGAGGCGGTAAAAGGGAACCGACTCGTCAAACGTGACGTCCTGAGAAGGCAGGACACGACGCGAGGTGGGGTGGTAAAACTGCCAGCCATGCGCATCAGGGGGAAAGCCAAGGAAGACACAGGGAATGGCGCGGGAGGAGAGCTTGTCCGCGGAGGTATTGCGGACAAAGGCACGAGATCCCCAGACCCGGAACACCGACGCATCGCCAACCTCTCCTGTCCAACACAGTGTCGGCGAGGTCTCCGGCAAGGAGACACGGGGCCAGAGGATGTGCTGATGCGCAGCGTACGGGACCGCAAACGGCCACAGAAAATGAGGGGCAGCCGCATGGATCATGGAGGTACGAGCGACCTCCATGACTAAGCCAATGCGGCGCTCAGCAACCCCATTCTGCTGCGGAGAGGCCGGAAGCGTGAACGCCTGGCGAATGCCCTCCCCACGACAAAAGTCCCGCAAGAGGTCGGAGGCAAACTCACCACTTCTGTCAGAGTACAGACGTCGGACGGGAAGGCCCGTGTCGAACCGCTCGCGGAGCTGGAGACGGACAGCGCGGATCCAAGGGATCAAAACATTAGGGGCCTCCCCCTTGCTGCGCAAGGGGAAGACCGTGGTGTAACGCGAATAGTCGTCAACAACCAGCAGAAAGTATCGCTCGCGGCCCTGTCCACGGACGCGGGCTGGGCCCCACACGTCCATGTGTAGAGTCTGCAGGGGAGCAGTTGTCGGGGGAAACGAGGAGGAGTGAGGAGCGGCGCGCTGCCGCCCCTTGACACAGGGAAGGCAGGGAGGGGCAGGCGAGGGTGGGAGGGGAGGCAGAGACCTGGGAAGACCAGAGACAAGGAGACGCGAGTGCATGCCACGGAGGCGTGCCACGGAGGGGTGACCAAGGCGGTGGTGCCAGAGGAGCATCTGGTGCGACAGGGCGCGACACAAGCAAGGGGCTGCAAGCTGACCTGACGCAGACGCTGACGCAGCTACCTGAGGAGGCTCAGTAGTCAGTGTGTAAAGACTCGACCCACGCCGACGGGTGAACGTGGCCAGGTGACGGCCCGTCCGTGTACACGTGCAGATCGACACACGCTGACCCCCAGGAGTGGTGGTAGTGACCATCGCATCCTGGAGGGTAGCGGTACTCACCAAGTTCGTAGAGAACGAGGGGAGGTGAAGACCTGAGAGTGAGCCGGACGGAACCGCCGGACACGGGAGAACAGTGGAGGAACGGGCAAGAACTGGGCCCCCTGAGGGGTCAGCCAGTCTGACAACAACAGGTGCAGGGAGTGGTGTGACTGTGGTACTATCGCGAAAGAAACAGCGGGAAGCACCTGAGTTAAGTGTGAAGGTGTGCAAGGCCTGAGCAGGCGCAGTACCAGAGAGAGCAGAGCAACTAGAGCAGCAGCCTCTATACATGGGTCGGGCGGCACACACAGGTAACAGTCACCCCCAGCACTAACAGGCATTGCATACATGGCAGCAAGGATAGTATCATAGTCAAGAGCAAAGATATCCACACCCCGCCTAAGCAGCTCTAGCCAGCGGGGGAGCTCAGCCGCGTCGCCAAACTCTGCACGCCAGGCGTCGCTCAGACAGGAGAAGCAGCGGGACTGTGTGTGACCAACTGTCCCGCAAGCCTGACCAGCCCGATCACCTGTGCGAATGACGTACGGGCAGGGAGCACTACTACGAGATGCCCCACGCTGAGCGAACCACTCACGAAGCTGCTGGGGCGTAAGGGTCTCGCGCGGACGCCGCTGCAGCTGCATCTGGCCACCGCCAGAAACTCCCCTCTGAACAGCTCCACGGCGACTGCCACTACGGCCGCCGCCACCACTCCAACTAGCGTACCACTCACGAAGCTGCTGGGGCGTGAGGGTCTCGCGCGGACGCCGCTGGAGCTGCAGTTGGCCACCGCCAGAAACTCCCCACCAAACAGCTCCTCCGAGACTGCCACTACGGCCGCCGCCACCACTCCCACCGCTACCACGAAGAGACGTCATAGCGGGCAAAGGAAGGAGGCGCGCGACCAGCACGGCAGCACGCAGGGAAGGGCGGCGCGCGGCCAGAGCAGGGCGGTGCGCTGCAAGTAGGGCGGCGCGCGGGCAGGGGAGGGCGCGCGGGCAGGCAAGGGCAGCGCGCGGGCTGCAGAGGGCGGCGCGCGGGCTGCCAGGGCGGACGCGACGGGCAGGGGCAGGGCGAAGCGCGGGCAGCAGGGTGGCGCGCGGGCTGCAGGGGCGGCGTGCGGGCAGGCAGGGGCGGCGCGCGGACAGGCAGGGGCGGCGCGCGGGCTGGGGCAGGGCAGACGGGCGACGCGGCGGGCTGGGGTAGCCCGCACGGGCGACGCGACGGGCAGGGGCAGGGCGGACGGGCGACGCGGTGGGTTGGGGCAGCCCGCACGGGAGACGCGACGGGCAGAGGCAGGGCGGACGGGCAACGCGACGGGCTGGGGCAGCCCGCACGGGCGACGCAATGGGCAGCAGGGGTGCACGGGCGGCGCGACGCGACGGGCAGCAGGGGCGCACGGCGCGACGGGCAGGGCGTGCGCAGGGCGGCGCGGGCAGCGCGACGCAGGGCAGGGCGTGCGCGGAGCGGCGCAACGCAGGGCAGGGCAGAGCGCGTGCTAGGCAGCGCAACGCAGGGCAGGGCAAGGCAGCGCGGCAGCCAGCAAGCGGCGCGCGGGCAGAGGAGCGCGACTGGTGGGGCAGCGCGACGGACAGGGTAGGGCGCTACGGGTAGGGTAACGCGCTACGGACAGGGAACTGTACGGCGGGCCCTAAAAAAGAACGGTCCTGGGACAGGACCTGCTTTGACCATGTTAGAATACTAAGCGAGAATGGATGAACTAGCAGCACGATGGGTACAAGTACTAACCCTAAATTGGGTTGTACCCCATATGGGCTACCCCAATATAGCCTACACAATATGCAACATATAAGTTTGACAAAAATTTACATGGAAAACCCCAATATAGGGGAAGGAGGGGGGCGGGGGGGGGGTCATTTGATCACCCCATAAGGGGGGGGTATAACGATTTCGAGGCTTAATAAAGCCCCCCCCCTTGTATTAGCTGGGGTGTTGTATTTGGGGGGGGGTCTTTTATCCGGGGGAATATGGTACCATCTCAAAATACTACAGCGAAATTAGGATGGACTAGCAAGAATGGGATACAAATGTGAAACCCTAAAAGTGTTGTACTCTCTAAAGAGCACCTCTATGTAGCTTAAAACTTACAGATATATATAATTTGACACCCTCCCCTCTCTCCCCCACCTCTCCGCCCCCCCACAAAAAACAACACCACTCAAATGGTCAAATAGCTTCTCATGACTTGTCGAGCTAATGCATCAGCTCCACTATTTCTGTAGATGGCAACCAAGTTATGGGCTGCTTCTCGTTTCAATCCTGCGTCACATTCCTGCCCCTCATGATTATTGAAATCCCTGCTTCTGCGAATTCTCGATCCCGGCTGCTCGGTCGGGGCAGGGTGCCGGTGTGAAGTGGCGGAGGAGAGAACGTGCTTGTAGTGGTCGACGGCAAGGTGCAGCAGACCCACATGGTGGAACGCACGACCCAAGTTGAAATGCACTTCCTGACATGTGCCACAGGAAAGCAGACAGGACATGCTGGCCATGGGAAGGAGATGACGCGGGAAGCAGATGGGGGAGGGAACCCACTTGGGAGCACAGTTCACCAGTAAAGTATGTTGACTAGCCTCCTCCTAAGCTGCTCTAACCTCAGGCCAGGTGTGCTCACCTGAGTGTCGCCTGACAGCTGCGCGTACTGCTGCAGCAGCGCCATGCCCTGCAGCACACACTGGCTGCGGTCACGCAGGCGCGAGCCCAGGGAGAGATTCAGCAGCGCCACTCCTGGTGGCAGCGAGGGTGTGTGGCGTGGGAGGAAAAGGGGGATGAGAGGGATGAGGGGGATGAGAAGGACGTGGGTAGGATTGTCGAAGATTGCGGTAGTGAAACACACATGAGCTGGTAGTGAAACACACATGAGCTGGTAGTGAAACACACATGAGCTGGTAGTGAAACACACATGAGGTGGTAGTGAAACACACATGAGCTGGTAGTGAAACACACATGAGCTGGTAGTGAAACACACATGAGCTGGTAGTGAAACACACATGAGCTGGTAGTGAAACACACATGAGGTGGTAGTGAAACACACATGAGCTGGTAGTGAAACACACATGAGGTGGTAGTGAAACACACATGAGGTGGTAGTGAAACACACATGAGCTGGTAGTGAAACACACATGAGCTGGTAGTGAAACACACGAGCTGGTAGTGAAACACACATGAGCTGGTAGTGAAACACACATGAGCTGGTAGTGAAACACACACGAGCTGGTAGTGAAACACACATGAGCTGGTAGTGAAACACACATGAGCTGGTAGTGAAACACACATGAGCTGGTAGTGAAACCCACATGAGCTGGTAGTGAAACACACATGAGCTGGTAGTGAAACACACATGAGCTGGTAGTGAAACACACATGAGCTGGTAGTGAAACACACATGAGCTGGTAGTGAAACACACATGAGCTGGTAGTGAAACACACATGAGGTGGTAGTGAAACACACATGAGCTGGTAGTGAAACACACATGAGCTGGTAGTGAAACACACATGAGGTGGTAGTGAAACACACATGAGCTGGTAGTGAAACACACATGAGCTGGTAGTGAAACACACGAGCTGGTAGTGAAACACACATGAGCTGGTAGTGAAACACACATGAGCTGGTAGTGAAACACACATGAGCTGGTAGTGAAACCCACATGAGCTGGTAGTGAAACACACATGAGCTGGTAGTGAAACACACATGAGCTGGTAGTGAAACACACATGAGCTGGTAGTGAAACACACATGAGCTGGTAGTGAAACACACATGAGCTGGTAGTGAAACACACATGAGCTGGTAGTGAAACACACATGAGGTGGTAGTGAAACACACATGAGCTGGTAGTGAAGCACACATGAGCTGGTAGTGAAACACACATGAGCTGGTAGTGAAACACACATGAGCTGGTAGTGAAACACACATGAGCTGGTAGTGAAACACACATGAGCTGGTAGTGAAACACACATGAGCTGGTAGTGAAACACACATGAGCTGGTAGTGAAACACACATGAGCTGGTAGTGAAACACACATGAGGTGGTAGTGAAACACACATGAGCTGGTAGTGAAGCACACATGAGCTGGTAGTGAAACACACATGAGCTGGTAGTGAAACACACATGAGCTGGTAGTGAAACACACATGAGCTGGTAGTGAAACACACATGAGGTGGTAGTGAAACACACATGAGCTGGTAGTGAAGCACACATGAGCTGGTAGTGAAACACACATGAGCTGGTAGTGAAACACACATGAGCTGGTAGTGAAACACACATGAGCTGGTAGTGAAACACACATGAGCTGGTAGTGAAACCCACATGAGCTGGTAGTGAAACACACATGAGCTGGTAGTGAAACACACATGAGCTGGTAGTGAAACACACATGAGCTGGTAGTGAAACACACATGAGCTGGTAGTGAAACCCACATGAGCTGGTAGTGAAACACACATGAGCTGGTAGTGAAACACACATGAGCTGGTAGTGAAACACACATGAGCTGGTAGTGAAACACACATGAGCTGGTAGGCACACTGCAGACGCCAGATCCCAGAGCTACACCCGTGACAACATCCCCCCCTCTCCCTCCTCCCCTTCCTCCCCCCCTCCTTTCCCATCGCCCTCCTTCCCACAGCACTGCCCTAAAGGCCCCCACCCGCGCACCGCAGCAGAGGCAGATGAGGGGGTCGTGGGGGTGCAGGCGGTGGGCGCGCAGGTACTCGCGGCAGGCGCCCTGCATGTGGCCGCGCAGCGCATGGTGGTGCCCCGACACTAGCATGGCCGCCACGCACGCCGGGTGCCGCATGCGCATCTGCTGCAGGAACTTGGCCCGCCGGTCGTTGCTCTCCGTGCCCCTGAAGGGGGGAGAGGGGAGCAGCCGAGGGAGGTCTGATGGGCGACTCGTGTGCTTGTGGAAGTGGAGTCCATGGGTGTGTGTGTGGTTGGATCTGTGTGCTTGTGGTTGTGTGCGCGTGTGGGTGTGTGTGGGTGTGCTTGTGACAAATAGACACAATGGTCCCTGCCCCCTGTGTCTTGGCATCTTGTTCATTCCATCACAGTGGGCGCACACGAAAGAGTGGGGTACATGTGAGCATGAGAGAGGGAGCACACAGTGCACCGGAGGGTGAGGGAGCACAGAGCGCACCGGAGGGTGAGGGAGTGGAAGAGCGACCAGCCGCGGATGCTGTGAGGCTGCTCGCTGATGATGGCCCGCGCCACCTCGAACTGCAGCATGCCGCTCGCCTCCTCTGCCCGCCCATGACATGCAAGCACAGTGGCATGGCCGCAGGGGCGGGAGGGATGGGAGGTGCTCAGGCAGGGGATGCAAGCAAGGCGTGGGAGGGACAGTGAACAGCAGCATGGAGCAGCAGAGGAAAGGGCCGGGGGAGGGGCGCTGCTCTTTCCAGCAACGGGAAGGTCTGCGCGCTCACCAGCAATGGCTGACTGCAGCTGCTTCCGCATGGGCTTGGGAAGGTTCCGCGAAAGAGCGGTCTCGACGAGGCGCTCAGCTTCCATGGGGCGGCCCTCGTGCAGCAGAGCCTGCACCACCTGGTGGTGTGGTGGGCACGAGGTGGGGGGGACAGGGAGGAGGTGAGAGGGAAAGGGAGGAGGTGGGGTGAGAGGAGTGTAGGGACAGAGCGGGCTGTTGAGCGCACTCATGCAGTGGGCAGGGAGCTTAAAGGTAAGAGAGCGATACGTGCAGGAAGCAGGGCATGCGGGTGGAAGCAGGGCATGCGGGTGGAAGCAGGGCATGCGGGTGGAAGCAGGGCATGCGGGTGGAAGCAGGGCATGCGGGTGGAAGCAGGGCATGCGGGTGGAAGCAGGGCATGCGGGTGGAAGCAGGGCATGCGGGTGGAAGCAGGGCATGCGGGTGGAAGCAGGGCATGCGGGTGGAAGCAGGGCATGCGGGTGGAAGCAGGGCATGCGGGTGGAAGCAGGGCATGCGGGTGGAAGCAGGGCATGCGGGTGGAAGCAGGGCATGCGGGTGGAAGCAGGGCATGCGGGTGGAAGCAGGGCATGCGGGTGGAAGCAGGGCATGCGGGTGGAAGCAGGGCATGCGGGTGGAAGCAGGGCATGCGGGTGGAAGCAGGGCATGCGGGTGGAAGCAGGGCATGCGGGTGGAAGCAGGGCATGCGGGTGGAAGCAGGGCATGCGGGTGGAAGCAGGGCATGCGGGTGGAAGCAGGGCATGCGGGTGGAAGCAGGGCATGCGGGTGGAAGCAGGGCATGCGGGTGGAAGCAGGGCATGCGGGTGGAAGCAGGGCATGCGGGTGGAAGCAGGGCATGCGGGTGGAAGCAGGGCATGCGGGTGGAAGCAGGGCATGCGGGTGGAAGCAGGGCATGCGGGTGGAAGCAGGGCATGCGGGTGGAAGCAGGGCATGCGGGTGGAAGCAGGGCATGCGGGTGGAAAGCAGGGCATGCGGGTGGAAAGCAGGGCATGCGGGTGGAAAGCAGGGCATGCGGGTGGAAAGCTGGGGGACTGAAAGAGGCAGGGCAATGTGGGGCAGGATGAGCGAGGGGCTTCAGGGGCGTGGCGGAGGAAGAGTGGTGGCAGCAGCAGGGAGAGTGCGCCACCATCCAAATCACCCGAGCTTCCCCCTCTCCCTGCTGCTGCGGGGAGCAGCAGCGGTCCCCACCATCCACCATCCACCATCCAAATCACCCGAGCTCCCACCCCTGATTGCGTCTGAGCTTTCCCAGGAAACTGAAAGACATGGAGAGGCATTACAAGGCGAGACGTAGGAAGGAGGCGGCATGGGCGCACCTTTAGCAGGAGGCCGAACTGCTGGTCGTCTGAGAAGATTCCAGGAAGCGGCACCTCGTGCAGCGTGGGCTCGTCCACGTCCTTCAGCCCCAAGTCGCTCAGCTGTGCCGCGCCCAGGGTGGAGGGCGGGTGGGGGGTGGGGGGTGGGTGGGGGTTCAGTGATGAACGAGGAGGAGGGGAGGGGAGCGGGGGTTCAGAGAGGAGCGGGAGGTCGAGTGGTGAGTGGAAAAACACTTTTCTCACGATTAAAACACTATTCACTACTCCAACTCCACAGCACACCACTCCCACAATCTGTTGCTTGCCCCACTGGCTTTCCCCAAATCCCCTCCCCCGCTTCCTACTCTCCCTACTCTTCTCACCACACCACCTCCTCTCACTTCCCTCCTTTCTCCAGCATTTCGACCCCACCCCTTTCACCTCTAGCTGCAGCCGCACTGAGTCCGTGCCAATCCCCCCTCGACCACCACCAGCCCTCCCCGCCCCCTCTCCTCCTGCTCCCCCCTCCCCCTCCCCCGCGCCCCTCCCCTCCCCCAGTGCCGCCTGCCTCTCCGCCTCCTCTGCTGCCAGCCGGGCCAGGCGCCGCCGATTCGCCAGCTGGCACCTGGTGGGGTTGTGCGGGTAGGAGGAGAGGAGGGAGTGGGGGGGGGAGGTAGGGGGGAAAGAGCGGGGAGGAGGGAGAGGGGTGATGGTGTGTGTGAGGGAGGAAGAAATGAGGTGCTCGAAGAGGGCGGGTGATGGCATGGTGGGAGGATAGGGCACAGGATGTCATGAGAGGTGGTGAAAGAATCAGGACATGTGAGGGGAGGGGTCTCACATTCCCTCCTCCGTCCATGCTCCCACAACCCCCCCTCTGCAAGCACGCCACCCGTGTGAGCTCACGCGATGCCGCGCGGCAGGCGCAGCTTGAGCCCGCGGTACAGCCCCTCCTTGCCCTCCCTCGCCTGCTCGCCCAGCAGCGCCTTCAGCTGCCGCATCCACGCCCGCCACCACGGGTGCGCCGCCCGGAAGGCCGACAGAATCTGATGCGCGGGCAGGGGGCGGGTGAGAGGGGTGAGACACGAGGGGATGAAGAAGGCGAGTCCCACTCACTCTCTGGACTCCCCACTCCCACACCTTCGATAACCTGCTCCGCTCCGCCAATACTAGGAGTGATGCACCCATCCAACATCCCACCATGCACTCACTCATGCTGCTCATGCAAGCGATGTCCCCTCCAGGCAAAGCTGCTTCCTGTGCAGCACCGCTCCTGCCCGCTCAACCATTTCCCCACGTCTCACTCACCCCAGCCCATCCCTGCAGCTGACATGCCTCACCCGCAGTTATACATTTGAAGCACCACCTGCTCACTCTGCCGCTTGCCAGCCCAAGCGCCTGCCCAACCTAAGCCCTTGCCAGCCCACACCCCTGCCAGCCATGCCCCTGCCAGCCACGCCCCTGCCAGCCACGCCCCTCCTGCTCAGGCGAGCTCAACCCACCCGCTCGTTCTTCTCGATTGCCCACATAGACTGGGACACCATGGGCAGCGCAACTTCCAGGAACTTGCTGGCATTGTCAGCCTTGTCCCACAGGTACGCCCTGGCCAGTCGCACCTCCACCAGCTTCCACCACGCCGCCCCGCCCCTCCTCCCCCCCGCCCCCTCGCCCGCCCCACCCACTGCGCTGCCCTGCGGAACGGCAGCAGAGCCTGTGGCAGCGGAAGCCCCCCCCTGGGATCCTCCCCGTGCTGCCTCTGCCCCTTCCTGCTGCCCCTCGCCCCCCCCCTGCTCGCCCTCCCCCGGCCCCTCCAGCACAGCCGCTGCCTCTGGCAGGCGACCCGCGAGGGCGAGCGCAGAGGAGAGGTGCAGCCGGGGGTGGGGCAGCCAGGGCAGGCACGCCACCACTGGGGGCGGGGAGGGGCGCGCACGGGAGGAAGAGAGAAGAGTGGGGGGCATGTGTTAGGGAGAGAAGAGGGGAGAGTGGAAGGAAAGGGAAAAGGTCGACGGAGGTGAGGCTTGATGAAGAGAGGTGATGAACGGTGGCAGGTGCAGGTGAGGCGAGACGGTGATGGAGGACGAGACACGAGGGCAGCAGGGACGAGGAAGTGCAGGTGCCCGGTGGCGGTGAGGATGGGAGAGAGTGCTGCTAGCGACGAAAGGGCGGGGACGGAAGGTGGCAGTGAATCGGTAGAGAGCAGTAGAGGAGGGACGAGAGTGTAAAGGAGGGGCGAGAGTGTAGACGAGGGAAGAGTGTGGAGACGAGGGAAGAGTGTGGAGACGAGGGAAGAGTGTGGAGACGAGGGAAGAGTGTGGAGACGAGGGAAGAGAACGTAGTGTAGGAGGTACGAGAGTGTAGGAGGGAAGAGAATAGAGATGGAAAGGGCCAAGCAAGGGTGCAGGCACACACAGACGAAAGCGCATGGAGGTGCAGAAAGGTGCAGAGCGATGCAGACACTTGTGTATGCATGTGCATGCCCCTTTTCGCTTCACACGCACACAAAGGGAAAAAAAATATACGCAGACATCTTCCCCCTCACACACAGAACCCACCCCTCCCACCCCAGCCTCCACCACCCGCACCACGCGTGCCCCTAGACTCCACTGCCCACCCTTCCCAGCCCCCCAGCGTCCAGCGCCCACAGCACACGAGCACCTCGGTGCAGAATGAGCAGGGCGTCATCCACGCGCACCTCGGTGCAGAATGAGCAGGGCGTCATCCACGCGGTCAGCAGCAGCACACGCCGCTCCCAGCTTCACCCACACCGCCGCCCGCCCCTCCACCTCCTGCCATAACGCCTCCGCCCCTCCCCCTTGCCCCTCTGACTCTGTCGCTGCCCCACCGGCCTCTGCAGCAGCAGCACCCCCAGGATCCCCAGCAGCAGCACCCCTGAGATCCCGAGCAGCAGCATCTGCAGCGGCGGCAGCAGCAGCAGCGAGGGCCACGTCATCCCAGTGGCAGCAGAGCGGGCGGTAGAAGCGGACGGCATCTGCCGCCCGGCCGACAGCCATGAAGGCGTCGCCGGCCTCTGTGAAGAGGTCTGCACAGTCGCCTGCGCTTTCCTGCTCCAACGCCTGCAGGTACGGCTGCAAGGAGGGAGGGGCGAGTGGTGGAGGAGGGGAGGGGGGAGAAAGAGGGGTGTTTGTTGCAAGGAAGTAAACGAAATCTGAATACGATCACCTAATGGCACTGGGTGTGCATCAGGAGAATCCAATCGCACAAGTTCCGCCTCTCCTGTGCATTTGTGAGTCATGAATCATGGTAGAATGAACAAGCAGGGAGAAGAAGGGTTTCCTGCGCCTTGCAGCCCGGAGCTGAGTTCCACGTGGTTTACACAGAAGCGGCGAAGCAACAGCGGGAAAGGCAGGCCATCCTCCCGAGCTTGTGGAAACACTGCTCCGCCTCACCTGTGGAAACACTGCTCCGCCTCACCTGTGGAAACACTGCTCCGCCTCACCTGTGGAAACACTGCTCCGCCTCACCTGTGGAAACACTGCTCCGCCTCACCTGTGGAAACACTGCTCCGCCTCACCTGTGGAAACACTGCTCCGCCTCACCTGTGGAAACACTGCTCCGCCTCACCTGTGGAAACACTGCTCCGCCTCACCTGTGGAAACACTGCTCCGCCTCACCTGTGGAAACACTGCTCCGCCTCACCTGTGGAAACACTGCTCCGCCTCACCTGTGGAAACACTGCTCCGCCTCACCTGTGCGCCTGTGACTCGGCCCCGGCACACGAGGCACACGCCTGCCTCGGCACCCAGGTCAACCGGCAGGGCAGAGCAGAGGGCAGAGCAGAGGGCAGAGCACAGGGCAGAGCAGAGGGCAGAGCAGAGGGCAGAGCACAGGGCAGAGCACAGGGCAGAGCAGAGGGCAGAGCAGAGGGCAGAGCAGAGGGCAGAGCAGAGGGCAGAGCACAGGGCAGAGCAGAGGACAGAGCAGAGGGCAGAGCAGAGGGCAGAGCAGAGGGCAGAGCAGAGGGCAGAGCAGAGGGCAGAGCAGAGGGCAGAGCAGAGGGCAGAGCAGAGGGCAGAGCAGAGGGCAGAGCAGAGGGCAGAGCAGAGGGCAGAGCAGAGGGCAGAGCAGAGGGCAGAGCAGAGGGCAGAGCAGAGGGCAGAGCAGAGGGCAGAGCAGAGGGCAGAGCAGAGGGCAGAGCAGAGGGCAGAGCAGAGGGCAGAGCAGAGGGTAGAGCAGAGGGCAGAGCAGAGGGCAGAGCAGAGGGCAGAGCAGAGGGCAGAGCAGAGGGCAGAGCAGAGGGCAGAGCAGAGGGCAGAGCAGAGGGCAGAGCAGAGGGCAGAGCAGAGGGCAGAGCAGAGGGCAGAGCAGAGGGCAGAGCAGAGGGCAGAGCAGAGGGCAGAGCAGAGGGCTGACCTGAGCGTGTGTGAGGCGGCCCAGGCGCACGAGGCACGTGCCCGCCTTGGCGCCCAGGTCCACCGGCAGGGCCTCCCCAGGACACAGCGACGCCCGCGCCCGCTCCACCACCGCCAGCGCTTCCTGGAAGCTTCCCTTGGTCATGTAGAGCTCGGCGAGAATGTTTACAGCCGTGAGATCGAGCGGGGCGGCGGGGGTGGAGGAGGAGGAGAGGAGGGACTGGAGGACCTCGATGGCCTTGTCTGACTGGTCGATGCGGTGATACATCTGGGGGAGGGAGGAGAGAGGAGGGTGGGCAAGGCAAGGTGCCCTGAGCCTGTTGCAGTGATGGCATGGGCATGACTCGTGAGGAGACATTGCATCACGGGCCCAGCACAAGATGCCTCCGCCATCTGCTTCAAACTCCCAGCCACGCCATACCGTGTCCGCCCATCCACCCCACACGATCCCATGCCACACCAAGTCCTGCAATGCCACACCTCACCACTCCATGCACTTAACCGCCCTTCCATCTCACCCGCGCCAGCATCTTGCAGACCTCCCCATCTGCCTCCCGCTGCCCGTCCGCCTCCCTGTGTGCGCGCATGAGCTCCAGTGCCGCCGCGGCCCGCCGGTAGTCCCCTGCCTCCGCCAGCAGCAGCGCCTGCTCCCACCTCGCCTCCACGTCCGATGGGTCCCGCCGCACCACCTGGTGGGGACGGCACGGGGAGGAGCGGTTGAGTGGGAAGAGCGGATGAAAGACGAGGCAAGTGGACGGCAACGATTGATCCACCTCGCAGCAGCAACGCCTGGCCGTGCCTTGCCTCCACGCCCAAGTGGGGGCGAGGTGCTGTGTGCAGGAGGGATGGGGGGAGCGAGATGCGGTTGAAGGGGAGCGGAGGGGAGGAGAGCGGCAGGGGTGTGCGGCAGTGCCCGTGGCAGCATGAGACGGCCTGGGCAGTGCAGTAAGGTGCGGGAGGTAGGCGTCAGGGCAAGGTGCAGTGGCCGAGAAGGGAGAGAAGAGAAGTGCGGTTGGAGAAAAGAAATGTGGATGGAGAAGAAAAGGGCGAAAAGGAAGTACTGAGGGGGAAGTACCTTGGAGAGGCAGTAGAGTGACTGAGAGGGGTTGCCCAGTTCCCTGCAGCACACAGGAGGGCGGATGAGAGGTGGGAGAGGGGTACAGGAATCAATCGTGGTTGGCTGAGGGCCAATCACAGGAACTATCTTCAGATACTTTCTTGTCACTAGGCAATCAAGCACCCACCAGAAACTCACTATTAGCTAGCTGCCCCTCTTGCCTCTCCCCCTTTTGCACTCCAAGCCATCCCCAAGCATGCTCTCTCCTCCCCTACCCCACCTCTCTTTTCTTACAGTGACCAGGCAGCGAGGCGGCGCCAGAGCGCGGTGTCCTGAGGGGTGATGTGCGCGGCGATCATGCTCAGGTTCACGGCCTTCTTCCTATCCCCCAGCGCGTCGTACACGAGCGCCAGCGTCTGGTAGCTGTCGGGCACCGCAGGGGCCTCCCGTATCACTGCCTCCAGCAGCGGAATGGCCTGGCGGGGAGGGGTAGGATGGAAAATGCAGTGGCTTATGCACATCAGCAGTGCCACCGCAGTCTAGTGGAATGTAATGTGGGCTCTGCTTAACTCTTTCACTCTCCTCCACCTCGCTGCACCACTCCTAATCTTGCTGCACCGCTCCTAACCTCGCTGCACCGCTCCTAACCTCTCTGCACTGCTCACCACCTCGCTGCACCGCTGCTCACCTGGCTGCACCGCTGCTCACCTCACTGTAGCGCCCCATGGCGTACATGAGGTTGGCATCGCCTAGCCGAGCCACCACCTCAGGAGACAGGCGTGAAGTCCCCTTAGGACGGCCCCGTTTGCACAGCTGCCAGGGAGAGATGTGGAGGGGTGATGATGATGTGACGAGAGAATGGAAGAAATTACAAGCACGGGGGAGAAGGGCGAGAGGGCGTGGGGAGAGCGTGGGGAGAGCGTGGGGAGAGCGTGGGGAGAGCGTGAGGAGAGCGTGGAGAGAGTGTGGGGAGAGCACGGGGAGAGAATGGGGAGAGCATGGGGAGAGCACGGGGAGAGCACTGGGAAAGCGTGGGGAGAGCGTGGGAATGGACGGACCATCTTCCTTCGCTTGCGAGACGGCGCCGTGGCGGCCTCCCAGATCTCGTCCATGCTAGCTCCAAACAACGCCGCCCGCGCCACCCCTCCACCGCCTCCTCCCCCCTCGTCGCTGCTGTCCCCACTGCCCTCCTGTGTGCGGCAGCGCCTGCGTGGAGAACAGGAGGAGGCGGGGAGCGAGGGCGGGAGGGGGGAGGAGTGAGGACGGGAGGGGGGAGGAGCGAGGGCGGGATGGGGGAGGAGTGAGGACGGGAGGGGGGAGGAGCGAGGGCGGGAGGGGGGAGGAGTGAGGACGGGAGGGGGGAGGAGCGAGGGCGGGAGGGGGGAGGAGTGAGGACGGGAGGGGGGAGGAGCGAGGGCGGGAGGGGGGAGGAGCGAGGGCGGGAGGGGGGAGGAGCGAGGGTGGGAGGGGGGAGGAGCGAGGGCGGGAGGGGGGAGGAGCGAGGACGGGAGGGGGGAGGAGGGAGGACGGGAGGGGGGAGGAGCGAGGGCGGGAGGGGGGAGGAGCGAGGGCGGGAGGGGGGAGGAGCGAGGGCGGGAGGGGGGAGGAGCGAGGGCGGGAGGGGGGAGGAGCGAGGGCGGGAGGGGGGAGGAGCGAGGACGGGAGGGGGGAGGAGCGAGGGCGGGAGGGGGGAGGAGTGAGGGCGGGAGGGGGGAGGAGCGAGGACGGGAGGGGGGAGGAGCGAGGACGGGAGGGGGGAGGAGCGAGGGCGGGAGGGGGGAGGAGCGAGGACGGGAGGGGGAAGGAGCGAGGGCGGGAGGGGGGAGGAGCGAGGGCGGGAGGGGGGAGGAGCGAGGACGGGAGGGGGGAGGAGCGAGGGCGGGAGGGGGGAGGAGCGAGGGCGGGAGGGGGGAGGAGCGAGGGCGGGAGGGGGGAGGAGCGAGGGCGGGAGGGGGGAGGAGCGAGGGCGGGAGGGGGGAGGAGCGAGGGCGGGAGGGGGGAGGAGCGAGGGCGGGAGGGGGGAGGAGCGAGGGGGGGAGGAGCGAGGACGGGAGGGGGGAGGAGCGAGGGCGGGAGGGGGGAGGAGCGAGGGCGGGAGGGGGGAGGAGCGAGGGCGGGAGGGGGGAGGAGCGAGGGCGGGAGGGGGGAGGAGCGAGGGCGGGAGGGGGGAGGAGCGAGGGCGGGAGGGGGGAGGAGTGAGGACGGGAGGGGGGAGGAGCGAGGGCGGGAGGGGGGAGGAGCGAGGTCGGGAGGGGGGAGAGGCGAGCAATGGGAGGGGAGGGGGGAGGAGTGAGGGACGGGAGGGGGGGGGACGAGGAATGGAACGGGGGCGGAGATTGGAGAGTGGAGTGCAGAGAAGAGATGTTAATAAGAAGAGAAGAGATGTTAATAAGAAGAGAAGAGATGTTAATAAGAAGAGAAGAGATGTTAATAAGAAGAGAAGAGATGTTAATAAGAAGAGAAGAGATGTTAATAAGAAGAGAAGAGATGTTAATAAGAAGAGAAGAGATGTTAATAAGAAGAGAAGAGATGTTAATAAGAAGAGAAGAGATGTTAATAAGAAGAGAAGAGATGTTAATAAGAAGAGAAGAGATGTTAATAAGAAGAGAAGAGATGTTAATAAGAAGAGAAGAGATGTTAATAAGGAGAGAAGAGATGTTAATAAGAAGAGAAGAGATGTTAATAAGAAGAGAAGAGATGTTAATAAGAAGAGAAGAGATGTTAATAAGAAGAGAAGAGATGTTAATAAGAAGAGAAGAGATGTTAATAAGAAGAGAAGAGATGTTAATAAGAAGAGAAGAGATGTTAATAAGAAGAGAGGGGGAGAGGAGAGAGGAAAGAGGGAGGACGAATGTGGAGAGGGCAGGGGGAAAGCAAAAGCAACATGGGGAGGGAGGGAGTGGGGAGGGGAGACACAGGAATTAGAAGTGGAAGACGAGAGGAGGTTTTTAAGGGTTTAAGTAGGAGGAACGGATAGGCCACAGACAAGCGGCCCACACACCTTCTCCGCAGCAGCCGCTCCTCTCCCTCCTCGCCCCCGTCCCCCCACCCTGGAGTGCCCCCCACGGTCCCCCCTCCCCCGTCGCCCCCTGCACCGCGCCCCCAGTGGGAGAGGGTCTCCAGTGCCAGAGCGGGGTTGCGGTGGGCCGCTGATAGCGACGCCGCTGCCGCAGCGCCGCCAGCCATCCATGCGCCCAGCGCACCGCCCTCCCCCTCCTCCTCCTCGCCCTCGCCTGCACTGCCACGCTTCCCTCCCCTTCCCCTGCCCCTCCCTCTCCCCCGCCCCCTCCCCATCCCTCTGCCCCTCCCTCTGCCCCTCCCCCTGCCTCTCCCCCGTCCCCTCCCTGCACCCACATTATCCCACTGCCCCTCCCCGACCTCCTCGCCCCCCTCCCCTTCCGCAGCACCACCTGCATCCCCACTGCTCTCCCCTCGACCCGACCCCTTCCCCCTCCCCCTCCCTCTGCCTCTTCCTCTTCCCCTCCCCCTGCCCCTCCCGCTTTCCTTGCCGCCACCTGTCTCCCCTTCTCCTCCACTTCCCCTCGGCCTTCCCCTCCCTCTGCCCCTGCCTTCACCCCTCCCCCCCCCTCCCCCTCCCCCTCCCCCTTCCCCTTCCCCGCCCTCGTCCGTGTCCCCGTCCCATCACATCGCCTTCCAGTCTCTCCTCGCTCATCCCCTCCCCTCCCCCCTCTGCTGCTGGCCCCCCCTCGCTCCACGCCTGCGCGCCTGCACCATCGCGCCGTTGCAACTCCTCCCCGCGCCCCTGCTGTGGCCCGCTCTCCTCGCCCTCCCCGTCCTCCGAGTCCCCCTGCCCGCTGCTCGACTCCGGCGCCCAGTCTGAGTCCTCCCCTTCCTCCTCATCCGTTTCTTCCCCCTCTTCCTCCTCATCCTCTTCGTCTTCCTCCTCCTCGTCCTCCTCATTTCTCCTCTCGTCCTTCTCACCCGCCTCCTCACCCTCCTCACCCTCCTCACCCTGCTCGCCGCTGTCATCTTCATCTTCTCGTACGGCACCTGTCTCGTCGCCCTCCAATTCCTCCTCTTCATCCTCTTCCTCCTCCCCTTCTTCCTCTTCCTCCTCGTACGCGATATTGTCAGCCTCGTCATCGATCACCTCCTCCACGTCAGCCACTTCTTCCAAATCCCCTTCCTCCATCGCCCCCATGTCCCCCCCCTCCCCCTCACGCTCTCCCTCTCCCTCACGCTCTCCCTCTCCCTCCTGCTCCATCGCCACGTCATCAACGTGCCACGCGTCAAGCAGGCCGGTGACGTCGCCGTCCTCGTCGATGCGTGTGGGGCCCACACCCCCCCAACCCCCCACACTCGCCATCCCGCCTGCGCTTGCGCGCATGCGCCACTCCCCCGAGCGGCCCTCTGTCGCTGCGCGAGAACTCCCCGCAGCTCGTCTCATGCCGTGCGGTGGCCGCGATTCAGCGCGAGTGCCGCAGGGTTACTGCGGAAGAAGTGGACGCGTGGATGGCACGGCAGCGCAAGACGCTTTCAGTGACACAAGGGAATTTCAGCTACGCGCGTTGTTCGTTGGTGACACTGTGGCAGCGTGACATGGTACACACAACATCATGACATCATGTTTGTACGAACACAGGTTCCGCAGAGCGGATGTCCTGCATCCTTGTACGAACGTGAGAGGACATCGTACGCGGAAAGAGCAACCTCTTTTAATCGCTCCGGGACACAGAAATCAATCCCGTTCTGTAGCGCTGCATGTATATCAGTGTTAATATATTTTGAGACCTAACCTAAACCATTAAAATTTCTAGACATTGCTGATTTTCAGCCCTGTTTTTCACAATGAGAATATCCCTGACATCTCTACTTTCTCCCAGAAATGCAATATCAAGAAAAAGAGGGGTGAATGCTCAATCAGTTTGAGCAATGACAAGAGGGTCTTGGGTAGGCAGCTGCACCCACACAAACTCCTCCACATACCCCATGCTCTGCTCCTGCAAGCCCCCCCGCTGACCTGCTACCTCACAGCCTTTCACGTCCCCACTGCCTGCATCTCTGCTGCCCGCTGCACTGCTGCTTCCCTCTGCACTTGCCCCCACTGCTGTTGCTTCAACTCCTGAATCCACACTTCTTGGAACAGCGACACTGCTCTGCTGTGCGGTGCTGAGCGGTGAAGAGCGGCAGCAGGAGTTGGGGCAGACGTAGACTGCCAGTGTGGCGAAGTCGAGCGCTGAGTCAGCAGTGGCGTCAGGCGCACTGTAGTAGATGATTTGCGGGAGCACCTGGAGGGGAGACGGGAAGAGGGAAGAGGGGAAGCAATGGAAGTGTTTTGAGGTGTGTCGAAGTGCAGGAGCGGCATGGCTTGCCCCATGGGTGGCGTGGCTTGGGGGCGTGCATGGCGTGAGGGATGTGGGTGGGCAGGACGGAAGGCAGGCGGAACAGGGTACCCGGAAGGGAAGGGGGAGGTGAGTGCAAGAGCACGAATGGAGTGGAGAGGAGAGGCTGCGCGTGCATGAGCAGCCAGTTCAGGATGACCGACGGTGATTGCAGGCTGGTGGGCAGGTGTGGGGTGAGTGGGCCAGTGAGTGTCCCCGCTTCACTCCCGTTCAGCATCAGGGTGGTGCAGCAACGGCATTGAAGGAACCCCATGGTGGAAGGGGCGGAGCAAAAGACTTCCCTGATTTCAGACACTTACACCTGAACGCACTGGGGCAACCCACCTGAGAATCCACCTGAGCGCACCTGGAACTCGAATATCCTGGGAGCACCACAGCCGCCACAGGGGGGAATGGCAGCCTGGCTGGGCGGCTGCCCCTGCAGCTGCGGCCACAGCGGACGGGCGGTGGCTGATCGGCAGTATCTGAGTGGGGGCGATATGGGAAGGAGGACAGAAGAAAGTAGAGAGGAGAGGGGAGGGGAAGGGAAGGGAGGAGGGAGGGGGAGGATGGGTGAAAGCAAGGGTGTGGACAGGTGTGTGTGTGTGTGTATGACGGAGGTTCTGCGTTTGAGGGGGGGGGGGGGTGAAACGTTGTGTGTGTGATGGGTCTATTTCGAATTTGAAAGGGGCCACTTCAAATCACCTTAGTGCCTTGGCAATCACCTGATCACTTGTTCAGGTGCCTTGGCAATCACCTGATCACTTGTTCAGGTGCCTTGGCAATCACCTGATCACTTGTTCAGGTGCCTTGGCAATCACCTGATCACTTGTTCAGGTGCCTTGGCAATCACCTGATCACTTGTTCAGGTGCCTTGGCAATCACCTGATCACTTGATCAGGTGCCTTGGCAATCACAGCCTGGAAAGCGGCCCATTGCTTCTTCTCTGCATCCGCCCCCTGAAATACCCACCATGCCATGCCACACCACACCATGCCACACCGCACCACACCATGCCAAACCACACCGAGAGGGCATTGAGGGGAAAGGGGCGCAACTTCGTTTGTATCCAATCAAGGAAGGAGGGGTGGCATTGGGGGGAGCAGAGGCTAGACGTGGGCGGGTAGGTGGGTGGGTGAGTGATTGGGTGGTTGGGTGGGTGGGTGGGTAAGCAGGGATGTGAGGCACAGCGAGAAGGAAGCGGGAGTGCGACTCCTACTGGGAAGGCAGGGAGCCAAGGGGCGAGAGCGACACAGTGAGGCAGGGGAATGAAAGGCAAGGTCGCAATGCAGATCAAACTCGGCACTGATACTTGAGTCAATATTCAACTCACCGCGCCCACCCCATGCGCAAGCCCACCCCATGCCCACTCCATGCCCACGCCATGCCCACTCCATGCCCAGCCCATGCACACGGCCACCCCGTCCCCCACGCCACCCACTTCACAGGAGCGCCTCACATCTCCGAAGCCCTCCAGCTCGCTCGCAGCAATGGGCCCCTCCGCCCTGGTGCGCTCCCGATACTCCCTCATTAGCCGCCGCACCTCCGCCCCCCCGGCCCCCGCCCCAGGCCCCTTTTCCCCTTCACTCCCCCCCTCTCTCCCTGCCTCCTCTCCGTTCTCACCCTCCTCGCCCTCCTCGCCCTCCTCTGGCTCCTCCTCCACCACCATCTCCCACTCCTTCCACCCTCCCCTGTCCAGCACCGTCACTCTCCAGTCCGCTGCTGACACGTCATTCCCTGCGCCCCCTGCTGACTCAGCATCTGCTGACGCGGAAGGTATCCTCGCTGCTGATGTGTCGGTGCCGGGAGGATGGGACGGGGCAGAAGGAGCAGCGGCAACAGGCGGAGGAGTGTGAGGAGCAGAGGGGGCAGCGGTGGAGGGGGCAGCGGTGGAGGGGGCAGCGGGTGGGGAGGTGGAAGAGGTGGGAGGAGGAGTGCGGGGGCAGGCAGCGCTGTGGCCCGCTCGCCAGTGCTCCTTCTGGTGCGCCCAGGGGCGTTTGGAAGGCGGTGAGCAAGTGTCGGGAGGATAGCGGGAGGGACACAAGGAGCGAACAGGGAAGAGAGGAAAATCAGTGCTCAAAGGTGTGGTGTGGTTTGAGTGAGGGCAGGGAGGTGTGGTGGAAGGGCAGGGAGGTGTGGTGGAAGGGCAGGGAGGTGTGGTGGTTTTAAAGAATTAAGTCAAGCCATCCAACTCCTCACCTCCCAATGGCAACGTGCAGGAATAGGGGAGAACGAATGGTGTGATGCTGTGATGGTTGTGAAGCAGGATGGGGGGAGGCACGACACGGCGGGCGAACCTGGTGGTCCTTGCTGCAGTACGAACTTGGTGGTCCTTGCTGCAGTACGAACCTGGTGGTCCTTGCTGCAGTACGAACCTGGTGCTCCTTGCTGCAGTACGAACCTGGTGGTCCTTGCTGCAGTACGAACCTGGTGGTCCTTGCTGCAGTACGAACCTGGTGGTCCTTGCTGCAGTACGAACCTGGTGGTCCTTGCTGCAGTACGAACCTGGTGGTCCTTGCTGCAGTACGAACCTGGTGCTCCTTGCTGCAGTACGAACCTGGTGGTCCTTGCTGCAGTACGAACCTGGTGGTCCTTGCTGCAGTACGAACCTGGTGGTCCTTGCTGCAGTAGGCCACCTGCCTGCACCCCCCACAGCGCTTGCTGCCCCTCCACGTGCCACACCACGCGCACATGGGCACTGCGGGTGGAGAGAGGGAGGAAGGGACTTGAGCCACGAGGGGAGATGATGGGGAGGGGAGATGATGGGGAGGGCAGATGATGGGGAGGGCAGATGATGGGGAGGGCAGATGATGGGGAGGGCAGATGATGGGGAGGGCAGATGATGGGGAGGGCAGATGATGGGGAGGGCAGATGATGGGGAGGGCAGATGATGGGGAGGGCAGATGATGGGGAGGGCAGATGATGGGGAGGGCAGATGACGGGGAGGGCAGATGACGGGGAGGGCAGATGATGGGGAGGGCAGATGATGGGGAGGGCAGATGATGGGGAGGGCAGATGATGGGGAGGGCAGATGATGGGGAGGGCAGATGATGGGGAGGGCAGATGATGGGGAGGGCAGATGATGGGGAGGGCAGATGATGGGGAGGGCAGATGATGGGGAGGGCAGATGATGGGGAGGGCAGATGATGGGGAGGGCAGATGATGGGGAGGGCAGATGACGGGGAGGGCAGATGACGGGGAGGGCAGATGATGGGGAGGGCAGATGATGGGGAGGGCAGATGATGGGGAGGGCAGATGATGGGGAGGGCAGATGATGGGGAGGGCAGATGATGGGGAGGGCAGATGATGGGGAGGGCAGATGATGGGGAGGGCAGATGATGGGGAGGGCAGATGATGGGGAGGGCAGATGATGGGGAGGGCAGATGATGGGGAGGGCAGATGATGGGGAGGGCAGATGATGGGGAGGGCAGATGATGGGGAGGGCAGATGATGGGGAGGGCAGATGATGGGGAGGGCAGATGATGGGGAGGGCAGATGATGGGGAGGGCAGATGATGGGGAGGGCAGATGATGGGGAGGGCAGATGATGGGGAGGGCAGATGACCGGGATCATGGCTGAAGGTGAGCGTTGCTGCAGGGTTACTGGCGGGAGATGAGGGGGAGGGAGTGACCTTGGTGGGAGAGTGGTGTCCCAGGTGCATCCGGGGGGGGCGGGGTGAAGGCGTAGAAGGGGTTGGCGCGCGGCAGCTGGGTGCGCAGTGCACACACACTGTGGGCGGGCGATGATGGTGCATGGGCAGGGCATGGCGCATAGGGGGGACATGCGCGCACACATTCCATGCAAACACACATTCCATGCAAACACACTTTTCATGCAAACACACATTCCATGCAAGCACACATTCCATGCAAGCACACATTCCATGCAAGCACACATTCCATGCAAGCACACATTCCATGCAAACACACATTCCATGCAAACACACATTCCATGCAAACACACATTCCATGCAAACACACATTCCATGCAAACACACATTCCATGCAAACACACATTCCATGCAAACACACATTCCATGCAAACACACATTCCATGCAAACACACATTCCATGCAAACACACATTCCATGCAAACACACATTCCATGCAAACACACATTCCATGCAAACACACATTCCATGTAAACACACATTCCATGTAAACACACATTCCATGTGAACACACATGCAGATCACATTCGTATGGAAGCACGCATTCACTTTCACATGTACTTATGACGATAAACCACCGAGACACGTGCAGCACATAAGGCACATAAGGCAGGGCACCGTGAGAACCTAAAGAGGCGTTTCAAAACGACACGCCATCCTCCATGTCGCCATGCTGTCATGCTGCCATGCTGCCATGCCGCCATGCTGCCATGCTGCCATGCTGCCATGCTGCCATGCTGCCATGCTCCCATGCTGCCATGCTGCCATGCTCCCATGCTGCCATGCTGCCATGCTGCCATGCTCCCATGCTGACATGCTGTCACGGACACGCTTCCATTCCAACAACAGAAATTCCCTCACTCCCCGTTCCCCCAACTCCACCCGCTCACCTTCGTCTCCTTTCCCTTGCTCTGCCGTCGGCCACCTCTGCCTGCTGCTGCTCCTGCTGGTGGCGGGTGAGGCAGTGCGGGTGGCGGCAGGCGAAGAGGAAGAGCGTGCGGTGGAAGGCAGAGGGCTCGCTGTCCACTGGCGAGTACACCTGCACGGGGGAGAGGGGGGAGAGGTGGGCGCGCAAGGAGTGTCAGTGAGATGAGGAGTGTGAGTGAGATGAGGAGTGAGTGAGATGAGGAGTGAGTGAGATGAGGAGTGTGAGTGAGATGAGGAGTGTGAGTGAGATGAGGAGTGAGTGAGATGAGTAGTGAGTGAGATGAGTAGTGTGAGTGAGATGCTGAGTGTGCGTGAGATGACAACTATGAGTGAGAGCTGTGTGAGTGAGGAGCAGCAAGGTGACCTGCAGCAGGAATCGCAGGGGCTGGGAGCAGAAGTGGCAGAGGAGGGCGTCTGACGGCACGTTGAGCGGGTCCAGGTACGCCTGGTGGAGGGGGGGATGGGGGGCACAGCACAGGACATGCCAGCATAAGATGGACGGCATAAGATGGACGGCATAAGATGGACGGCATGAGATGGACGGCATGAGATGGACGGCATAAGATGGACGGCATGAGATGGACGGCATGAGATGGACGGCATGAGATGGACGGCATGAGATGGACGGCATGAGATGTTGTCAGGATCCATCCATGCCTCTCCATACACCATCGCATGCCTCTCCATCTGCCCATCACATGCCATCACATGCCATCACATGACATCACATGCCATCACATGCCATCACATGACTCCACGTCGTATCACATGCCTCCACATGGCAAGGCATCCTTTCGCGTTGGATGGGCTGCAACCGAGAGGCAGGGAAGGCACGGAACGACCACGAGCGCGGACTGGAGCCAACAGGCCGAGCAAGGTGCGACAGGTGCTGCTGGCGCCGAGGCACTGGGGCATGGGAGCACGCAGATCAGCGCGTACCACCAGCTCAAGCCTGGGATTGGCGGCACACGTGTCTTGGCGCACTCGCATCGTCACAACAGCGCCCTCATCGCATGCCGCCCATCTTTGCCGCCCATTTCTCATCCCATCTCGCTCATCACCCTCGCCTCACTCACCGGCGCGCCCCCGACTTTGCTCGGGAAGCGATGGCGTTCGAGCGACCAGTCGTGCGACGGCTTTTGCACGAACCCTAGCAGCACCACGTCGTCGCCACTGTCGCTCACGTCGTCGTCGTCGTCGCCTGCGACTTCCTCCTCCGCGCGTTCAGCGACTTGGTCATCAATGCCTTCCGCGCGGCTCTCTTCCTCCCCCCTGTCACTGTCCGTCGCTCCCCGCGCCATCGGCGCGCAGCCCTGCGAAGTAAATGTGATCCGACGAGGACGCGCGTGGCTTCACGCTAGGCGCGTTTCTGCCGCAGGAACAGGCTGGCGCAAGAGCACTAGGTTCAGGGGACAAGCGAGGGAAGGGGTTAGGGCGCGGCACAACCACCTCCGGACGAAGCAAATGTGACGATTTATCGGGTTATTATACGAATCGTCACTACAAAGGGCGCGCTATGACATTTGGTCAATCGGTTCTCCCGAACGGTGAGGGAAAATCTATCACAGATGGTCTCTCGTCTGCCCACACTGTTAGTAGGGAAAAGATCATACAGGGGCCGAACAGTGCCAGAGAGGTGATCAACCAGGGGACAACTTCAGCTGCAATCCAATTTAGCCAGCGCGGTTCGCAAATGCGATCCCTAACAGTCCGCCTGGAAGAAGCTGATGGGTCGTAATCTGCCCGCGGTCAGAAAAAATAAACCCCATCTGGATGGCATGCGATTAGGGGAGCCCCAACCCTAAACACGGGGAGCCCCAACCCTAAACATGGGCAGCCGCATGGTTCTGCCCGAAAAGATTGCATTTGCAAACCCGCACTGGGAAAATGAGATCGCAGTTCGAATTGTCCGGATCAACCAGGGGCCGAGAGGCCCGAAACTTACCAAACCACTGCGCGACGAGGGATTAACATGGGGTCTTTGTTTATTGCACATAATTATGTTACTAGTGGGATGTACCGGCTCGCATTTTCGCTCGCGTGTCGTTTAGCGAGCCGACTCTACCGGGAACTCTATGTTAGAATCCAGAATAGAACGAGAATGAATGAAACTAGGTAGGAGGGGGATACAAGTAGGAAACCCTAACAAAGCTGTACCCCCTAAGGCTAAACCCACTATAGCCTACACAATATGAACATATAATGTTTGACACACCCCCATAGGCTAAGTGGGAGACAACCAGATGGTCACAAGACCAGTCAAAGCAAAGCAAAGCAAGCTCAGGGTGGATCTCAAGGAAACCACACAAATTCTGAGCACAAGCAAGTGGTCACAAGACCAGTTCACATGCAGGTTGATAGTATAACAAGAGATACAGTGATCACAACCTAGCAAGAGTAAACAAGCAGGTATATATATAGAGATCACAGTACAAGCAGAGTCAAGAAGTAAGCAAGTGAGGCCCAGTAGGCACGAGGCCTAGAACAGTACAGAAGCGCTGATGGTCACAAGGCTGAAGCGCCTTGGTGAACACATCAGCAGTGTTGGCCCGAGTGGCCACGTAACGCAGACGAAGCTGACCGCGCTGCTGCAGCTCTCGAGCAAGGAAGTAGCGCAGAGCGATATGCTTCGTTCTGTGCTCCAGTCTGTGCTCCTCACACAAGGCAATGGCAGCCTTGTTGTCGACGTACAGCACTGGAGGAGAACGAGGCCGCTCTCCCAAGTCGGTCAGCAGGTAAGTGAGCCAGCGTAACTCCTGTGCAGCCATGGCTGTGGCGTAGATCTCAGCCTCACAACTGGAGCTGAGAACAGAAGTCGACCGTGTAGAACGCCAAGAAACTGAACCAGAGCCAAGGCTGAAGGTGTAACCCTGAGACGACCGCTGAGTAGCCTGGTCGTCAGCCCAAGACGTGTCTGAGTGCCCAGTGAGTACAACTCGGTCTCGTCCTCCAAGCACTAGCCCCATGCCCGACGTACTGCACAAGTAGCGCAACACCCTCTTAGCGGCATCCATGTGCTCCTTCCGGTGACGGCCAGGAGCGACATAGCATGCAAGGATGCTAAGAGGGTATGCAAGGTCAGGTCGAGTGCAGGTCATCAGGTACATGAGGCAGCCCACAAGCTCTGGATACGGGCCACTCGGCTCTACGGACTCATCCGAAGGCAGAGCTGAGAGCGAGTGACCGGTAGGCAGAGGAGTGGGCTGAGGCGAGGAGTACGTGAAGCGGAAGCGCTGAAGGACCTGCTGCACCATGTGTGACTGAGTCAAGGTGATGGTGCGCCGTGCTCTGTCCCGGGTGATCCGCAAGCCAAGATAGCTTGTCAGTTCACCCAGGTCTGTGCACGTGTGTCTCTACTGCAGCTCCGACTTCACGTGGGTGAGTGCCGCAGTGTCTGCAGTGGCAAAGACCAAGTCGTCGACGTACACGAGGATGTAGAACGGCGGCAGCGAGGTGTCGGTGCGTAGAAACAGCGGTAGAAGGAGCGAACCCAAGAGCCGCAAGTGTAGTCCTCAGTGTGTCGTGCCACTCACGTGGCGCCTGTCGGAGACCGTAGACAGGCCGCCGGAGGCTCCACTGGGTACCAGGAGGGAACGACCCAGTGAAGCCAGGTGGGCGGCGCAGCCAGATCTCCTCGTGCAGGCTGCCCTGTAGGAAAGCAGTGCTGAAGTCAAGAGAGTGGAGCTCGTAGTCACGCTGAGCGGCGACGTGCAGCAGAACCCGAAGAGTGGTCATCTTCGGGGTCGGGGAGAAGGTCTGGAAGAAGTCAACTCCCTCTCGCTGACTGAAGCCTCGTGCAACGTAACGCGCCTTGAAGACAGGCGGAGAACCCGGCGGCCGCTTCACCCTGAAAATCCACATGCCACTGACGATGTTCGCCCCAGGTGGGGGAACCTCGTCAACGTAGGTGCCTGTGGACTTCCAGGAAGCCATCTCTGCGTCCATGGCTGTCTGCAACTGAGAGGAGTAGGGACCCTCTATCGCCTCTGCGTAAGAGCGCGGAGTCGGGATGTCTGGTGCATCCGGGTCTCCCTCAGGGGCAACTAGCATGGACACGAGATGAGGCAAAGCACTCAAACTCCTCCCGCCTGTCCTCAAGGACGTCCGTGCCAAGAGCACACTCACCCCCGACGGACGGAGGACAGACAGACTCAGACTCAGCAACTAGGCTAGCGGCGTAGTCTAGACGACAAGTGGCAGCAAAGTCGACAAGCTCGGCAACTAAGGCAGACGCAGCAGTGGACTCAAAGGAAGGGTCAGTGACAACATTAGCCAGGAGACGCGTGACAGTAGGACTGGCAGCACGAAGAGAGTCAGACTCAGGGTCAGCAAGAGCAGGAAGAGAGGACGCAGGAGGAGCCGGGAGAGGGACACGCTGGGGAGCAGTGGAAGGACGAAGCGCCATCTGGTGAGTGCCTGGGACAGCAGGAGGACGCTGATGCGGGACGCGACGACCAGTGTGAGCAGCACGAACAGGCGACGCTCGACGAGACTCAGGCGACGCAGGACGAGACTCAGGCTCACGACGCTCCGTAAGACCTCCAGTCGGACCAGTGTAAGGAGAAGGACCAGGGAGAGGGGAGGCAGACGGTAACTGTGACTGCGACTGGACAGACGGAGGACACTCTAAGGAGGGAGGAGGACAAGGAGGAGGAGGCTGACCAAGAACCTGCTGAAGGAGCGGAACGAAGTACGGCCGCGGCCGCGCAGCGTCTCCAGAACCAGCAGAGACACCAGCGCCAGGGTCCTCAGCACCAGCAGCAGCTCCACCTCCAGGGTCCTCAGCACCAGCAGCAGCTCCGACTCCAGGGTCCGCAGCACCAGCAGCAACTCCAACGCCCGGGTCCGCAGCACCAGCAGCAGCTCCAACGCCCGGGTCCTCAGCACCAGCAGCAGCTCCAACTCCAGAGTCCGCAGCACGAGCAGCACCTCCAGAAGAAGCAGCACCTCCAGCAGCTCCAGCAGCCCCAGCACCAGCAGCACCTCCAGCAGCTCCAGCAGCACCAGCAGTACCACCAGCACCAGCAGCACCTCCAGCAGCGTCAGCAGCACCAGCAGCTCCAGCACCAGCAGCACCTCCAGCAGCGCCAGAAGCACCGCCAGCACCAGAACCTCCAGCAGCTGGGTCCGCGACACTAGGAGCGCCACTACGAAGACTGCAGCGCCGTGCGTACCACTCTCGGAGTCGCTGGGGAGAGGGCAGCTCCCGCCTAGGAGGGGAAGCACTAGCACCAGCTCCAGCAGTACTCCTGGCTCCAGAAGCACCTCTCCTGAGGCTGCAGTACTGTATGTACCACTCACGCAGCTGCTGTGAGGAGAGAGCTCCTCCAGGTGTAGCACTCCCAGGCTCAGTACCTCCAGACTCAGCACCCCCAGACTCAGCACCCGTAGGCTCCGCACCCCCAGGCTCAGCACCCCCAGACTCCGCAACCCCAGGCTCCGCACCCCCAGACTCCGCAACCCCAGGCTCCGCACCCCCAGGCTCCGCACCCCCAGGCTCCGCACGCTCAGGCTCAGCACCCTCAGGCTCAGCACCCCTAGCAGGACGAGAGTCGACTGCTACCTCGACAGGCTCAACCGGGTCTACCTGGGACACACCTGAGGGAGCGGCACCCTGAGGGGGGAGGGGGTCTACCACAGCAGCACCTGGCGCGAGGAAGAGAGGCGGGGGGGGAAGCGGGGCAGTGCGGTAGGGGAAGAGGCGGTAGTAGGGGACGGACTCGTCGAAAGTGACGTCCTGAGAAGGCAGGACACGGCGCGAGGTGGGGTGGTAAAACTGCCAACCAGACGCGTCCGGGACAAAGCCAAGGAAGACACAAGGAACAGCGCGGGAGGAGAGCTTGTCCGCGGACGTATCGCGAACAAAGGCTCGAGATCCCCAGACCCGAAAGCGTGACGCATCGCCAACCTCTCCTGTCCAACGCAGTGTCGGCGAAGTCTCTGGAACGGAGACACGGGGCCAGAGGTTGAGCTGATGCGCAGCGTATCGGACTGCAAACGGCCACAGAAAGTGGGGGGCAGCCGCATGGATCAAGGAGGTACGAGCGACCTCCATGACCAAGCCAATGCGGCGCTCAGCAACCCCATTCTGCTGTGGAGAGGCCGGAAGCGTGAACGACTGGCGGATGCCGTGCTCCGCACAGTAGGCTGCCAAGAGGTCGGAGGAGAACTCACCACCTCTGTCAGAGTGCAAGCGCAGGACAGGAAAGTCCGAGTGGAAACGCTCGCTGAGCTGGAGACGAGAAGCGCTGATCCAAGGGATCAAAACATCAGGGACCTCACCCTTGGTGCGCAAGGGGAA